GAGCCCGATGCGGGACTCGATCCCGGGACTCCAGGATCATGACCTGAGCCGAAGGCAGTTGCTTAACCAACTGAGCCACCCAGGCGCCCCAAAACCCACTTAATTTTTATAAGAACCCTGTGAGGTAAAGATTATAACCCCTGCTTTACAGATAAAAACACTGGTCTTTAAAGAATAAAAACTGGGGTATGAACCCAAGGCAGTCTAACCCTAAAGTCAATGTTCAGAATCATTGCACCCAACAATCCACGAAAAAGATGGCTATCCCAAAAAGGTTCAACCCTACATAGTAACATCTGGCCTGAGCATCAAAAGTGACAATAAATACCATATACAGAACATTGGGCTGTGTTGTAAATGTGAGCTAATCATTTTAAAACCTTACCTTGTGTGGTACTTATACAAATCCTATTAGGTGATGTTATCCCCATTTTATAGACAAAGCCAGTGAGGACTGATGTTAAGCAAACTGTAGGAGGCCTCACAGCTCTGAAGTGACAGAAGTGTGGTGTAAACTTACGTCTGCTTAACTCCAAAACTTGCTTTCTTAACCAGTAAGCCACAATGGAATAGTAATGGGAATAGGAAAGTACTCTCAGATACGTGAGTTTTCACTTTTTATCTATGAAATTGTTAGAGACTCCCTATTATTGTTTTCCCCTACAAATAATAATACCAGAGTTGGCAAAGGTACCCCCAACTGGCACACTCATGCACTATTAAAAAACATGCATAAGAACTCTGGAAAGGAACATGGCAACACGTGTCAGAAGCCTTAAGAATGTTCCTATCCAATAACTTCACTTCTTACCCACCTTAAGTATAGTGGTATTCCATAAATCTTGAAAATCTAGCTACCGTATTAATTTGGCCTACAGAGTATAATCCCTTTTTTTTTTTTAATGGGGTGTAATCTTTTGATTAGAGATTATTCTTTCAACATGGAACTAACTACTCAAGCTCTACTTCAGGGCAAGTTAGAGCCCACAGATAAGCCCATCACTTGTTTTGGAAATAAGTTCTAGTGGAAACCAGCAATGCTCATGTCCTTATTATCTATGCCTGCTTTTGCACCAGGATAGCAGAGGTAAGAGGTGGTGACAGACAACACATGACCCCACAAAGCCATCTGTCCCTTTGCAGAAAAAGTTTGCTGAATTCTAATATTTAGTTCTATAAAACTCTAACTGGAATACAGACTTTAAATGAAAAACTTCCAACCACCTATCATTTGGAGTTTTCTGGTTAGTTCCTATCCCTAATAGGTAGGACACTCCGATCTAAATTAAGCAAACTTAAGCTGGCTTTGTTATCTCTAGATAAAAATGTAAATTTAAATGGATATAAAGAACCACAGCTCTCATCTAAGATTCATTTGACCTTCCTGTGAATACAGAGGAGTCTAAGTTTTTCCTCATCTTTAACCAATATGAAAATATACAATTGAGAATCATTTCCACAACTATAAAACAATAAACAATATGGATAAGCAATACCCTCTTTCCTCATTAGAAAGATATTCAGGGGTGCCTGGGCGGCTCAATTGGTTGAGCATCTGACTCGATTTCAGCTCAGGTCCTGATCTCAAGGTTGTGAGTTCGAGCCCCGTGTTGGGCTCCACGATAAGCATGGAAAAGGCAGGGAGAGAGGGAGGGAGGGAGGGAGGGAGGGCGGGCATGAACGAAGTACCACAAACCTTGTGTATTCTTAAAGGACATAATGGCTTGTCTATAGGGGTTTGGTGCATCTGCAGCATCAGTCAGGTTGGCCAGCACCAGCAGAAGCAGGAGACTCTGGTTGGCCAGAGGGGAAGAAAGTTCTGGAGAGGCAGCTGCTTTGCTGCCCACGCCACCCAGTGTGAAGACAGTCCAGAGGCCAGCTTGAGAAGAAAACACACAGTTAAGATGTGCTGGGACTATTAAGATGGATATACATACTTCTGTATGATATTCTATACTTTTTAATAACACTCTTTTCAATTATTAAAGTAAAACAAGTTCATTACTTGAAAATTCTCATATTGCCAAAGGATGTAAAATTTTTTAAGACTACCACTCCCTACTCCCATAATTCCACTTCTACTTCCCATAGATAACCACTATTAAGTTTCCTACATCTTTCTAGATTTTTTTAATATATCAAAACATCTACATAATTATAACAACATTTCATGTACAATTTTACACCAATATATTTGAAAACATAAGCAAAATACTAAAATATCTAGGAAGATACAAAATGCCAAAATTGGCCAAAGACAAAAATCTGAATGGACAAATTACCTTAGAAGAGTGGGAAATGGAGTCAAAGAGCTAGCAAATCAAGTCCAGATGTTTTATAAGTAAGTCTACCGAGCCTCCCAGTACAAACAATTCCCATGTTATATAAATAGCTCGAAAGTACAAAACAAGAGGCATATTTACACAACTCATTTGACAATGCCTGAAAAATCTCCGATACAGAAACTGAATAACGACTGCATTTAAAACAAGAGGAAGAAATGCAAAGAGATTTTTAGATAGACTCAAACAAAAGCAGATGAAATCTTACAGAAAAATTTGTTAAAAGAACAAATGCATCACGATCATGAAAGTTTTGTCTCTGAAATGCAAGAATTGTTCATCGTTCTAGAAATGTATTGATTTACAGGCATACCTCAGAGATATTGCAGGTTTGGTTCCAGACCACTGCAATAAAGCGAATAGTATTGTGATAAAGTAAATCAAATGAGTTTTTTGGTTTCCCACTGCATATAAGAGTTATGTTTACACTATATTATAGTGTATTAAGTGTGAAAAATAGCATTATGTCTAAAAAACCAATGTACATACCTTAATTAAAAAATACTTCATTGTTAAAAAATGCTAACCATCATCTGAGCTTTCTGCTAGTTGTAACAACTGATCACAGATCACAATGCAAATATTAATGAAGAAATTTGAAATACTGTATTACCAAAATGTGACATAGAGATACAAAATGAGCAAATGTGGTTAGAAAAATGGGGCCAATAGGCTTGCTCGATGCAGGGTTGTCACAAACCTTTAAAAAAAAAAAAAAAAGGCAGTATGTGCAAAGCACAATCAAACAAAACACAGTAAAATGAGGTATGCCTGTATTTCTAGTCAGTTTTTATTAAAAAGATAGAGGGAAAGATGACCTAGCCAACTTTTAAAATTAAACTTAAAACCTATTAAGAATTCTTACAAGCTAGAAAAGTAAAGTAACCTCTTTCAATTCTAAAACCTATCTAATCAGAAATCCACAGTGGTCACACACTGGAAGAACTCCCATCAATATCACCAACATCACCATCATACTACTGGTGCTCCAAGCAAAAGCGTTAAGGCAAGGGGGAAAAAAAACAGACCTTCTCCCCACCCCCGAAAAAAGGAAAAATATTTCATTATTTGCAAGCAACCTGATTGTGCACTGTCCAATAGAGTAGCCACTAGCCACCAGCCACTGTGGGAACTGGGCACCTGAAATGTGGTTAGCCCCAAATGCATTTTGCTGTAAGTATAAAATACTGAATTCTGAAGACTTAATACAAAAGTAAAAATTTTGCACTAATTTTTTTTAATATTGATTCCATGTTGATATTATAATATTTTCGACATATTACATTGAAGAGTATTGTTAAAATAAACTTCAGCTGTTTCTTTTTACTTTTTTAATACAACTACTAGAAAATTATAAATTACATATGTGGTTTGCATCTAGGCTCACATTTTTATCAGACAGAGCTTCCCTAGGACATCAAGAGAATCAACATACACTATTAGAACTAATAGGTTTTGGTACAGTTCTATGACTAAAAAATCAACATATAAAAAAGTCAAAAACCCACCTACACACAAGCAATAAATAACTACAAAGTCCAATCACTATAGCAACAAACCCAATAAACTCTTTAAAAATCAACACAAAAGAAATATGTAAGACCTTCAGGCAGATAACCACAGACCTTGAGACTGAAGGCCATATAAGATCTGAATTAATACATAGATACAACATATTTCTGGACAAAAAGGCAATACCACAAGGGGACCTGGGTGGCGCAGTCAGTTGAGCGACTGTTTTAGCCCAGGTCACGATCTCAGGGTCATGAGACTGAGTCCCATGTTGGGCTCCATGCTCAGCGTGGAGTCAGCTTGAGATTCTCTCTCCCTCTCCCTCTGCCCCTCCCGCTCATGCTCTAAAATAAATAAATAAATCTTAAAAAAAAAAAAAAAAAGGCAATACTGCCAAACTGCCCCTCAGTTAATCTAAAATGCAATACAACCACTATCAAAATGCCAAGAGGAATTTATGCAATATTTTGTAATACAGAACAAATAAAGTATTGCTGGATATAAAAATACATAGAAAACAGTTGGTTGTTTTTTTTTTTTTTAAGATTTATTTATTTGACAGAGAGAGAGAGACAGCAAGAGAGGGAACACAAGCAGGGGGAGTGGGAGAGGGAGAAGCAGGCCTCCCGCTGAGCAGGGAGCCCGATACGGGGCTTGATCCCAGGACTCTGGGATCATGACCCAAGCCGAAGGTAGACACCCAACGACTGAGCCACCCAGGCACCCCAGAAACAGTTTTTAAGAAGGACTAACCTGGGGAGGAATGTTCCTGATTAAACAGCAAGACTTTTATAAAGGTGAAGTCATTTAAAAGTGTGATACTGGCAATAGACAAATTAGTTTGATGGACCAGAAATGAGTTCAAGTTCAGAAACAGAACCACATATATTTGAGAATTAACCTTATGATACAGGTAGTATTCCAAATCAGTGAGAAAAAAACAAAATTCTAGAAATGCCTCTGGGACAAGAGAATTTAGTCATTTCCCCAGTATTTAATTATAAAAGTATGTGTATAAACCTTGAGTTGAGAAAGCCTTTTTCTTATATAAAAAACAAAATTCAAGAAGATAAAAAGAACAGTAATTTGACTAGTTAAAATATTAAGTACTTAGATGTGATTAAATACATCCTAAACAAGTAAGAGAAAAGAAGTATCTGCAACATACAAAACAGAAAAAGATATTTATTTTAAAAAGAGACCTCCTATAAATCAGTAAAGAAAGCCAACAATCCGAAATAAAAGTGGGAACTAAAAATTCAAAGCAATAAAGAGAAATTAATGTGATAAGATCATCCAAGAAAACAAAAATTTTTTTAAAGATTTATAACACATAGATTGGTAATGGTATACATAAAATCACCAACAGTGAGAAATAAGGTGGTACCAGATTTTTGAAGGATATTTGGCAGTTCTCATTGAAATTAAAAATGCACACCCCCATCAACCCAGCAATTCTTTTTTCTTATACTAGAGAACACTTGAACAGGCACACAAAGAAGCATGTATTTAATATTGTTTATAAATGTCAGGTAACAGAAACAATGTAGATGTTAACCAACAGTAAATGTTTACAATAAGCTCTGGTTTATCTATACTATGGAATACAGTATGAGTTAAGATATCCACGTATTAACAAGGAAAGATCTCCAAGATATACTGCTAAGTAAAAAAAAAAAAAAAAAAAGCAAGCTGCAGGAAAACTGAGGTAATAATTTAAAAATTACCCACCAAAACCACGTGTGTGTGTGTGTAAATGTTAAAAACAAAAACAAAAAACAGGAAGGACTCCAAAAAACAGACTCTTAACTACAGAGAACAAAACTGATGGTCGCCAGAGAGGAGATGGGTGGGGGATGGGTGCAATAGGTGAGGGGGATTCAGGACTGCACTTGTTGTGATGAGCACTAAGCCATGTACAGGACTGCTGAATCACTATACTGCACACCTAAAACTAATAGGACACTGTCTGTTAACCATACTGGAATTAAAATTAAAAAAAAAAAACAGGAAGGACGAAGTGTACACCATATTGGTAACAGAAATTATCTCTGCATGTAATTCAAGAAAGACTTTTGCTTTATTTGTATAATATTTTTGTAAGAAGAATATAACCATTTAGTTCTTTAAAAATAAATGTAAAACAATAAAATTAAACATAACAATACAGACTCCATGGGTAAATGATTATGTAGAACATGGAAAAACTTCATCAATATATCATTAGGTGAAAATGCAAATCACAGAACAGTATATATGCACCCAAATAATATGCCCCACTTGTTTTTTAAAAACTGTAACGATACATCCCTCTGCAGGTAAGGGCAGCTACAGGTGCCTGGCAGGGTGCACTGCTGACTGCAGTTAGCTCTGATCGTGGACAAGAGTGAAGGGGACCTGAGGAGTCTCTTACTTCGTTCCGTGTTTTTTCAGCTGACTCTCCTACAACATGGACGTGTTCAAGCACAACTTTCAGTTAGAAACGTTAACAAAAGAAGTGAGGGAAGGAAGAAAATTCCTGGTCACCAACCCCCGAAAATGTGATGCAGTACACGCTTGCAATAGGACTGTTATTTTTAAAAAGCACCTTCTGACAATTTTGGAGGGATAAACGTCAACGCATGAACACTGAGTAGACCTGGGGTGGTGGTAATGGGTGTGATATTTTAGTCTTTGTACTCGTCTAGTTTTTTTTTTATTACTTATTACATGGGCAGATGGCATTTGTAAAGAACACCTTTGTTAAGGAAATTAAATGCTTTTGTAAAGAAATTTTAAATAGATGGCAAAATAAGCAAAACTGAGAAATGTTATTTTTCCTCAACTAACATAAGCAGATACTTTTAATTTCTTCTTGATACCATCAACAGTTCAGAGTGAATATTTGTTCATTTCTAATATTTTACATTTTCTATTGAACACACCATACAAAACTACCACATGGATACCTAACAATTTATCATTTTTTTTTAAGATTTTATTTATTTGACAGAGAGAGAGAGAGAGCAGCAGAGGGGAGAGGCAG